AACGAGAGCAAACACAAACTACAAGCACTATATCTTTCTTTGGAATTTTAATTCCAAATAATCAAATAATAATCATCAATAAAAAATCCCTCCCATGGCTGTTGTTCATTTTGGTCTATAGTTAGTGCCACTCTTGCGCCTATATGTGTTTAAATCTTGATCTTCAGATAATCATTTGGAACACATCAGCCACTCATTAATTTTAAGTTTGAAAAAACTCCATGAAGGACCGCAGAATGCTTGTGGCCCAATATAATATGAGGCCGCCCCTTTTCTGGATAGTGGAGTGAAAGACACAGAAAGTGTTTCACATCTCTTATACGTATAAATATGTACTATAGGAAATTTTTTGGTAGAGGATCTTAGTCAGTTGGAAGATGTCACCATGAAAAGCATCTTAAGCTTTATTAAACGTTTGAAATGATTTCAAACCATTAAATTTTATAAGGAAATATAATTAGCCCTCAGACTCAAGTGGATTCATGGAATGTTTAAAATAGTCTAAGTAGAGATAAGACTCTGATTCTTGCTTATGTTTGTTTTTATTAGTAATTTTATTATGAAAGACATTTCAAGTAAAAAAAACATTATTGTAAAAAAATTATTAAAATTTATATAGAATCTTTAACGCGTAAAGTTATTAATAATTTGCACAGTTGATTATTTAATATAAATAAATTTCTCAGAGATTTCAGATTATTTAAAGTTTATGAGTAATAATATTATTTAATAATCTTATTGCAAAAACTTATTTTATACGTAATCGGGTTTGGGTTATTCATAGATTTTATTTATAAAAATCCCGTTAAGTACGTTTAGTCGTACGATTTGAGAGCGAGTACTGACCTAAGCATTTCCAATAATTTCTATGTAATTTTAAAGTAAATTCGACTAGTTTTGCAATATCCAAGTGAAAAGTGAATTTTTCATAAGAAGCGAGTGGAATTTCACTCCCGATTTAATGCATGTAATTTCATATAAAAATTATCTTAGGAAATTAATAAAAAAAAAAATAAAAGAAATTTTGTACTGAAAAATATTCCCCACTGCAGCTAATTAAGTGCTGTAGATACTTTGTATGTGGAGCAGCGCGTCTAATAAATCGAAGCAAAAGCGCTCGATGACAATTTTACGTATTAATTGACTCCGATTTGCATTTAAGCTTAAAAGCTGGAAAAATAATGTAAGCTAACTTCAAGTCCACGAAATACTCAGAAGCGAAGCTCTTAGCGGTGAATACGTACTAACCTACGTCAAAATCAAATCACCAACGAAGTGTAGTGATTCAGACGCCGCTAAATTTGATAATAAATAAGTTTTTTTTTTTTGCTAAGAATTTCGTTTAATTTTATTGCTTGTTGTTTTTGTGAAATCTAAGCCAAAGCTACTCTTTCATCTGAAGCGCCACAGTTCGAAGAGTACAGTAAAGAGTGTGGAATAACAGAGAGCGTTAAGCAAAGAGTATTGATTGCTTCGCTCTTTTTCACGTTTGCGTGTTGCAGCGCTGAAAATGTGGGTGGCTTGATAAGAACCTGATTGGTGGTTAAAACGCTGGTGTAAACGTGTTGTGTCTTCTAATAGTTTTGTGCAGTTTGCTTGCCCATTCATTTCAAAATGGATTTTCTTTTATGCGGACTGACGACGTCAGTAGTGACTTTCAGTACAATTGGACTGAAATAATCAATGCTCCAATAAGGAGTAAAATATATTTAAAATATTTTTTTTTGGAAATGGAATATTTGTAGAATTATAAATAATTTATTATTCAGTATTAATTGTTAATTAACAATTAATATTAATTTTAATTATATACGGACTGTAAATTAATTAAAAAGAAATTCGAATATTTCCTAAGACGCCTGATGATGAGTACTTGGCAATACTCGAAACAGCGTTGTATAGTTAGCCAAATATCAATAAATTAAATAAATTTTTGTTCTTGTCTTTTCTTTGCTATTCGAATCCATCTTATTTTTAAATAATTTATTTTCGTTACTCTCGGCATCATCATCTGACTAATTATGTTTTACGTCTGCAACACAAAATATATATAAATGAATCAGTTGTTAATTATTCTAAAATTAAAAATCTATATATAGTTGAATAGTTATTTAAATTAGTACTCCGAACTTAAGGGGTGTTCTTGACTCAGACTTGCTTCAGGTACAATTTGTTATTTTTTTGTAAATATATAAGTGTTGTTAATTTATCCATTATATGTACCTATATATTTATTTATTAGTGATTTAACATTAAAATAATTAAGAGGATTTTTGAAAAGTAGTGAACTACAACAAAAAAAATTCATTTTTATATTATTTCAATTAATTTAATTTCTGGCTGACCTTACAGTTGTTTCGAGTATTGCAAAATACCCAACATCAGTGGTTTTGAAAATAATTCTTGTATTTAAAAATTCGTTAAAAATTTTTTGAGACTACAAAAATCGAACTCGTACCCTGTCAAATTTGAAGCTTAGAGTCAGCGCACCTTAACCAAGTGACTTGACTTTTATGCTCGCACATTTTTCTGGAGTTTTCTTAATTTGCTGCGAAAGTTTTAATTACAAATTCACTTGCTGTGTTTATATTAGAACAACATCATAAACCAGCTGTAAAATAATTAAATTAATTAATTAAAAATCAATTACAATTAATTTTAAAGTTAGCTATGAATAAAGCACTGAACTACTAGGTCCTTCACTCTGTGCTTATATAATTTATCCATTATATATTCAAAAAGCAGTCTCGAATCTTCAAGACGTCAATTTAATTAAATTTATGATGTTAAAGAATTAAAGATATAATTAAAGATAGAGATATAAACCTTATTTGTAAGTAAATTAAAATTAAATTGCGTTCATAGCGGTAAGACATCTACAATAATTGGTCGGGTTTTTGCATTGAGTGAATAAACTCACCACATGATTGTAGTAGATTCTATTATTACATTTTTATTTCTAGTTGTAACATTTGAGTGGTGTCATAAATTACATTATCCTTCCTAAAATAATCATATAATAATCTAATATAGTCATTCTTTTTTTATTCTACGCTAGACAGCGGAACGAAGAAAAAGGTTGGATAATTTCTTCCCGTTCTCATTAACATCATTTTTTCAGTATTTATTTGAGTAAATTCTTTATTTGAGTAAATTAAATTCCTTTATATTAAATTTAGTAATTTTTTTTCATATTATTACAGAGGACATGAGAGTCGTTATTATCTGTTTTCATACTACATATTCTAGTACATGTAATGCTATTATTATACGTGATTTACATTTATATTGACCTATAGAATTTAAGCGCCCATTCATTGTTGTTTTTTTTTTTTAACTATAAAAATTTATTCTCAATTAAAATAACTGTGATAATTCTTGTTTTCTAATTAAAACTAGTTTTTGAAATATTTTAACTCAGATTATTTGGTTTTTACTACAATCATAGTCATAATTTTTACTGTCTTATTTTTATAAGATATAAAAAACCCACGGTGAATCAACAAACTGATAACGAGTAAAAATATATCATCATCATCACGACCTTCATTGTAAACTTTGATGTGAATAATAATAACTTCTTTGATTTCCCTAATTGTTATTATCATATTTACTTACGATAGCTATATTATTCTTTATTCTGAAATTGGTCATTGAGATCGTTATTAATTCAGTGTTCTCACCCAAAATTTTTTCCTCTATAAATGGAAATATTTTTCGGTATTTTCAGTATTCATATCTTTTTCAGATAATTTATTAGTAATATGTCTTTATTATCCCAAAAATATTTTTCTTTTGACAAGACAGTCTTCTTAAGTCTTCTTTTTCAGTGCTGTTTTACATTCTTCTTCTTCTAAAGAACAATCGAACTTTTCTTCTTCTTCTTCGTCTAAAGAACAATCAAAAGAAGAAAGACGATTGTTCTAAAGAAGAATTGAACTCTTCTCCTCTATTCAAAGAAGAATCGAACTCTTCTCTCTCTTTTAAAGAAAAATCGAACTCTTCTCCTTCTTCCAAAAAAGAATTGAACTCTTCTTTTTCCAAGGAAGAATCGAACTCTTCTTACTCTAAAAAAGAATCGAACTCTTCTTCTTTAAAAGAGGAATCGAACACTTCCTCTTATAAAGATGATTCGAACACTTTTTCTTCTAAAAAAAAATCGAACTCTTCTTCAAAAAAACAATCGAATTCTGCTTCTTCTAAAGATGAATAGAATTTTTCTTCTTTAACAGTAATATGGAATTTTTTTCTTTTACAATAGAATTGAATTTTCGAAAAAGAATGGAACTCTACTTTAGCTTCTGGAATATAGTAATTCATATCTTATCAATTGTTATGATCCGCAAACGTAGATAAGGAATAGTTCTGATTTTTTTTGGAATCTGATAGTGTCACAACAAATATTCACCTCTGCGTTTTATTATCTTTACCAGTTCTTGTAGCTCTTATTGAATATTTTCGATGTTGTGTATATACAGATTTATTATAATGCTGTAATTGCGCTTAATATAGACCACCCATTTTTTACCGAATTTACCAATTTTAATAGCGATCTTGTTTTGTGACATCCCTGATTTATGTAAATTAATTGGATTCTATTGATGAAGACCCACCGCATAGAATTAAAGTAGTGCTGTAAATAATTGCGATTAACATAGACCGCCCAACTGTTTATGATAATTCCTAAACACCTTTCAATATTGTTACTGACATATTTTATGCACATGAGCAATTTATAGTAAATTAATTAAGTATGAATTTTGAGGTTAAATAGTAAATAACATGTTAACTTGTTATTATATTCAATAAATAATACAGGGTTATTCAATTAAATAGATTCAATAACTTATATGTATATAATGAATAAAAAAGTTTCTATTCATTCAAATTTTTT